ACAGAGCCCTGGCTGGCCTCAGATTCATGATGTAGGCAAGGCTAGCCTTGAACTCCTGATCCTCCCGCCTCCAAATTCTGGGATTATAACTGTGGTAGGCCAGCTAAGAAAGCACAGGAAAACCATCCCAGAACTGAAGCACTCAAATCTCTAGACTAAAAGGTACCTAGTACGGTGGATTCAGAGACCCACAGAAACTGCTTTGTGAAATTTAGACTACCAGGGCTGAAAGGAAAATCAGGAACTCTTTTAGATAGTAAGGAATAGGTCACATACTAAGGACCAGGGATCCTCATGGCCTCGGTCTCCTTGGTAGCAACCATAGATTCTAAATGCAGCAGAACACTAGCTGAAGAATTCCGATGGAAAAATTATCCAAACTTAACATTCTACAACTGGAGAAGGTGGCAGACGCTGTTGATGGCCACGTGAATGGCTGGCAATATCAGGGACAGAGAATTGAAGGACATACTCATAGAGGAAGAAATGCGAGTTGCCAGGAAACATTTCAAGGGGTGTGTGTGTGTGTGTGTGTGTGTGTGTGTGTGTGTGCGCGCGCGCGCGCGCGTGCACGCGCACACACAACTTGCAGGCATTGGCTCTGTCCTTTCACTGTGTAGGTTCTGAGAATCAAACTCTAATTGTTAGGCTTGGCAGAAAGTTGAGCCATCTTGTCCACCCCAATTTCATTTTTTCTAAGACAGAGTCTTATAGCCCACATTGGCCATTATGAAGTTGAGGCTGGAGTACCATCAAGCCCCAGGTATCATGTGTACTAGGCAATCTCCACACCGATGAGCTGCATCCCCTACCTTTTGTTTTGTTTTTCAGACAGGGTCTCACTCTGTAGCCCAGAGTGGAACTCACTGTCTAGCCCTGAGCCGCTCTCAAACTAGCGGCAATTCTCCTGTCTCAGACTCTCAAGTGCTGTGATCCCAGCTACTCAGCAGACTGAGGTAAGAGAATTGCAAGGTCAAAGGCATGCTGGGCAGTTTAGTGAGACCCTGTCGCAAAAGAAAAAAAAGATTGGGTGGGTAGTTTAGTAGTAGAGAGTGTATAGCTAGTGTGGGTGAGGACCAGAGGTTCAATGCCAGCACGTGCACACACACACACACACACACACACACACACACACACACACACACCACTTTTAAAATTTACTTTATTATTTTGTCGCCAGGCAGTGGTGGCTCACGTCTTTAGTCCCAGCACTTAGGAGGCAGAGGCAGGCGGATCTCTGTGAGTGCAAGGCCAGCCTGGTCTACAGAGTGAGTTCTGGGACAGCCAGGGCTGTTATACAGAGAACTCCTGTGTCAAAGAACCAAAAAGAAGGAAGAAAATCTGTATGTGTCATACTGACAAACAGTTAAAGATTGACGTAGCTGGACGGGATGTTGATGGACAGTTGTAATCACAGTGACAATAATCTGTGTCGGTGGAAACCTGACGACAAAGTTCCGAGTGTGCATACATGATTTTTGAAGATGGCATTTACCTGTGTGTGTCAGTGAGCACATCCACGCACACGCGCACACACACACACACACACACACACACACACACACACACACACAGATGCGTGCCATGGCGTCTGTGGAGTTCGGACGACAACTTGCAGGAGCTGGTTCTCTCCCTCCGCCATGTTGGTCCCGGGGGTTGAGCTCGGGTTGTCTGGCATGACAGCAAGCCCCTTTCCTGCCAAACTCCTTCCAGCTCTTGTTTCTGTTCTGGTTTTCTAGATAGGAACTTGCAACTTTGGCCCTTGGTGGCTTCACATTTGAAGCAATCCTCCCTCCTGGATTCTGGGGTCACGGGCGTGTGCCACCACAGCCAGATGGTTTTGTTTTATTAAAATAAAGCTCTCACCATGTAGCCCAGGCAGGCCTGGAAGGTCTTCCTGCTTCAGCCCTGGATCCTGAGACTACAGATGCATGTCCACATCTTCCTGTTCTCAAAAACAAAACAAAACCAAAAAACCTTGCTAGGCCTGGTAACACGGGCCTGGCTTCCCAGTCACTCGATGGCTGAGGCAGCATTGATCTCAGGTGCAGGCCAACTTATGCAACTGAGCAAGACCTTGTCTCAAAATGAAAAATTGTTTTATTATTGTTTGGTTTTGCTTTTGTGTTTCTTTTTGCCCCTCTCCTCTCTCTCTCTCTGTCTTTCTCTGTCTCTCTGTCTCTCTCTCTCTGTCTCTGTCTCTCTCTCCGTGTGTCTGTGTGTGTGTGTGTGTGTGTCTGTGTGTCTGTGTCTGTGTGTCTGTGTTTGTGTCTGTGTGTCTGTGTCTGTGTGTGTGTGTCTGTGTGTCTGTGTTTGTGTTTGTGTGTCTGTGTGTGTGTGTCTCTGTGTGTGTGTGTCTGTGTCTGTGTGTGTGTGTGTCTGTGTCTGTGTGTGTGTGTCTGTGTGTAGGTCAGAGGACAACCTCAGGTGCCATTCCTCAGGAATCTTGCACCTTTTTTTGAAACAGGGCCTCTCATTGGTCTGGAGCCCTGCAGTAGGCTGGGCTAGCCGGCCAGTGAGCTCCAGGATCCACCGGTCTCTACTTCCCGACTTGCAGTCACCAGGGTTATAGGCACGCATCACCACATCCATCTTTTTTACATGGATCTGGAGGTTCAAACTCAGGTTCTAGTGCTGACAAGGCAAGCATTTTGCCAGCTGATCTGTTCCAGAAAAACATCTTGTTGCTGTCTCAGAGGGAGCCCTAGAGCCAACCCATGCTTGTTTTAGTCAGTGTTTTCAAAAGGAAAAGAACTGATAGAATGAATACATACATACACACATACATATACATACACACATACATATACATACACACATACATATACATACACACATACACACATACATATACATACACACATATATATACATACATACACACATACATATACACACACATACATATACATACACACATACATATACATACATACACACATACACACATACATATACACGTACACACATACATACATATACATACATATATACATACACACATACATATACATACATACACACATACATATACACGTACACACACACATACATATACATACATATATACATACACCCATACATATATACACATACATATACATACACACATATATACATATACACACATGCATACATACATACACACATATGTATATATACATAAATAAAATAAATCCCCATTTACATATATATGCATATAAATATGTAAAGGGAATTTATTGACTGGCTTACAGGAGGAGGTCCAGGTAGCCCAGCACTGGCTGTCTTGTTGCGGTAATCCTTCTTGAGTAAGTGCTCTGGCACCAGGGAGAGTGGAGGAGAGGAGATGTCACAGTGGACCAAAGCCAGGACAGCTCCTGAAGGACTCTGACAGCGGGCCCAGTCTACAGTCTCATTTCGTACTCTGAAACCGCAGGGTGGGGTGGACAAGTGAGGTTTCATGGAAGCACACGGCAGTCAGCAGGTTGCGAAGGGCAGCGACCCCATTGTATTAGCTGTTTCTCCGGGTCATTCTCTTCCAGGTAGGCAAATAAATCAATAAATCGGTACCTAATAATTGGTCTTTTCTGTCTAACTCTCCTTCAGTCTCACACTAAGGAGACCTAGTTGTCATTCAGTTCACGAGGATGTGCTGTGGGATGGTCTGTATGTCAAGTGTGTTGCTGATTGGTCAATAAATAAAACACTGATTGGCCATTGGCTAGGCAGGAAGTGTAGGCGGGACAAGGAGGAGAATAAAGCTGGGAAGTGGAAGGCTGAGTCAGAGAGACACTGCCAGCCGCCATGATGAGAAACAGCATGTGAAGATGCCAGTAAGCCACGAGCCACGTGGCGGGGTATAGATTAATAGAAATGGATTAATTTAAGCTGTAAGAACAGTTAGCAAGAAGCCTGCCACGGCCATACAGTTTGTAACCAGTATAAGTCTCTGTGTTTAATTGGTTGGGTCTGAGAGGCTGCAGGACTGGCGGGTGGGAGAGATTTGTCCTGACTGTGGGCCAGGCAGGAAAACTCTAGCTACAAATGGCGTCCAACGTGGTGGCAAGAGTTTCCACCTAAAACCTGAGAAAAAAGATTCTAAAATGGAGCTAAAAACAGCTTCCTAATTGTCTCTCTCAAATGAGTGGCAGCTGCCGATTTGAGCTACTGGTGGGTTCCCAGTGTGCACGCTCGACCTGCAGTATGGCGGGAATGAGGCCTCTGCAAGTGGCACATTAAGCTGCGTGGTGGATTTAGCCTTTGCTAGTACAAAACAAAAACAGAGGTTTCTGGGCTACACGCTGCTTGGATAGAGGCATGGACCCATGATGGCTCCCAGAGCTAGTGGTAGACGTGCCACGGCCATGTTGGGAAGCTGAGGTGGGCCGAGCCAGCAGCCACAGCTGCTGCAGTTTAATGCAATAGATTCACAATAAGACAGATTCAGATGTAATAGTTTACAATGTGTGTAAAATATACGTAGGCTTGAAAGAGACAAAAAAGGTGATATATATAGTTATATAAACAAATACATAGTTTTAAAAAATAAAGTCTTTAAAGAGACAGTAAAATTAATATAAAAAAGCCACGTAAAGATGAATATTACACAGAGAATCTGGATTGTGTTGTCTTTGGGATTTTTAACTGCAGAAAAACATGATTGTAAAAG